GACTCGGATGTAGCTGCGCGCTCGCGGCGATACGAAATTAAACCTGGAGCCTGATATTCCTGCGGCGCACGAAGATACGATGGCGCGGCCGAGTGCGCAAAAGATCCTGGCCGGAGGATTTTCCCGCGAGATACGCGTCTCCGTGAATCGTCAAGGCACGAGCGCCGAACTAATGCCGCGCGATTGTTAAATTCGATCGTTAAACTCACCGCGATCGCGCGTATCGTCGCGAAACGCATCGGCAATGACCATCGAGCGCGGGATCCGTTCGCTGCGTGTCCGCGCCGCTCCGCTAATGGACGAGACAACATGACGCCGTTTCCCAGCACCGCTCGGTACTACGAGAGTTCAGTTAGATCACTGCATTATCACGTGCACACATAAGTATGTCTCACGTATATCCACGGAAAATACGCACGTTGACAAGCAATCGACCCCCAAATAACCTAACGGTGACGGCGTCACCGTACAGGGGAAAAAAAAAGTATGCGACGCGCGGAACATTCTCGAACCGACCAGCACGCAACGGTCGCGGCGGCGCTACACGGATCAAGTCGACGCCGGGATTCCGTCACTTCGATTTCTCTCGCGTACCGTATCACGAACAAACGCGTAAATTCACACGCAAAGACCACGCATTGACCACTGCTCGACGCGTTCGCGGCTCTTCTTTACTCACTCGATGTACATCACAGGCAGGGGCGAACAAACGCGACGATATTATTCGACGTACGGTCCGCTTTCCGTTTCTTGCGCTCCGTGAAACGAAGAACAGTGTCCTGCAGTATCTACGAACTCGACAAGCTTGATCGCGCGGGAAATGTTCGTGCACGTCGTCGGTAACACTCGCGTCGGCGGCACGAAAGGTGTAATGCGACGGCGCGGAACATTCTCGAACTGACTGACCGACCGGCACGCAGCGGCCGCGGCGACGCTACACGAGCGACGACACTATTCGAATCAAATCGACGACGACGGGATTCCGTCGTTTCGATTTCTCTCGCGTACCGTATCACGAATAAACGCGTAAATTCACGCGCAAAGTCCACGCGTTTACCACTGCTCGACGCGTTCGCGGCTCTTCTTTACTCACTCGATGTATGTACATACATCGCAGGCAGGCGAGAACAATAGGCGGCGATTCGACGGTCCGCTTCCCGTATCTCGCGCTCCGTGAAACAAAGAACAATGTCCTGCAGTATTTAAAAAGTTGAGCTCGATCGCGCGGCCGTGGGCGTCCTTGAATCAAGCGTAAAACGATCAGGCAGTTGCCCCGTGGCGTACGTGCCGGCGGCTCGAACGGTAATGCGGCGCGGGGGCAAGCGGCCGCGGCGGCTCGAGACCGGCACGGCGACCTGCGCAGTAGCGCGCCGCCGCTCGCCGCC